TTAAGTGTAAGCTTAGATTGTTTATTTCACATTTTTCTTAATCGCTATAAACTGCTTCTGCAGGGCACCTGGGTGGCTCAGTCACTTAAGCATCCAACTCTTGATATCAGATCAGGTCATGATCTCTCAGTTTGTGAGTTTGAGCCCTGCATTGGGCTCTGCATTGACAGTGTGGAGCCTTCTTGAGATTCTGTTTCTGTCTCTCTCTATCTCTGCCTCTCTCTCTCTTCTCCCCGCTCACTCTCCCTCTCTCTCACACTCTCTCTCTCCCTCTCAATAAATAAATAAACTAAAAAAAAAATTTTTGCTGTACATCTTCTATTTTGGAACATTATATTTTAATTTTCATTTGACTCAATTCTTTTGTTTGAATTCCTCTTTCATTTCTCCATTGACGTCTTGGTTGTTTATTGGCATGTTGTTTAGCATCCACGTGTTTGTGTTTTTTCCAGTATTTTTTTTCTTGTAATTGATCTAGTTTCATACTGTTGTGGTTGGAAAAGATGCTTGATGTAATTTCAGTTTTAAATTTATTGAGACTTGTTTTGTGGCCTAACATGTGATCTCTCCTGGAGAATACAGTGTTTCATGTGCATCTCCAAAGAATGTGTATTCTTTTTTAATTTTTTGTTTTTTGTTTTTGCTGTTCAGTTTGGATGATTTCCACTACCCTGAAATCCTAGATCATTGATCTGTGCTTCTGCATCATCTCATCTGCTGTTGATTCCCTCTACAGTGTTTTCCATTTTAGTTAATGTATTCTTCAGCTCTGATGCATTCTTTTTTATATTTCTTATCTCTGCTGAAGTTCTCACTGAGTTTATCTACTCTTCTCAAGTCTGGAGAGCATCCTTATGACCATTACTTTGAACTCTTCATAAGGTAGATCGCTTATTTCCATTTCATTTAGTTTTTTTTTTTTTTTTTTTTTTTTTTTTTTTTGAGGTTTTGTCTTGTTCTCTCATTTGCAACATGTTCCTCTGTCTCCTCCTTTCCCTGCCTATTTTTGTTTGTATATATTAGGTAGATCAGCTGTGTCTCTGGTTCTTGAACATGTAACCTTATATAGAAGGCATCCTGTGAGGCGTAAACCCCACCCCACCCCCTGGTAACTATACCCAGGCACTCCAGGGATTTCCCCTGTGTGGGCTGCATGTGCCCTCCTTTGTGGCTGGATCACAAATTATGTGGGCACACTGGTACCACTTTTGTGGGGTTCCAGTCCAAGCTGAGGCGACTCAGTGTGGTGGGACAGTAGCCACTTTTGGGGGGACAGGCACCAGTCTCAGTTGAGGCTCTCTGCTGAGTGCAACAGGAGGGGAACCACTTTGGAAGGGTATCCCCCAGGAAGGGAAGGTTGGGCTGGACAGGTCCACAGGTTGACATCTGGTCAGGGTAAGCAGTGCTAGAAAGGTAAATGGATAGTGTCAGAACTGGTGCCCGCCAGCATCAGCCCAGCGAGGCAGAAGGAAGGCAAGAAAAATGGTGCCATTCAGTGCTTCCTTCCTGGAGAAAGTTCCTACAGAGCCCTGACCCTACTGCACAAGCCCTAAAATTAGTCAGTGAATCTCCTTCAGTTATGGCTTAGGTGCTGTTTAGACTATTGCTTCTGTTCTGGTCTCAGCCAAGTGTTTATATGCAGGCCTTTTAAGAGTGGAATTTTGGCTTCCCACAGCCGGCCAGCTCTCCTGGAGTTAAGCTTCACTGATTTTCAAGGCTTCTGGACATAAGGCATGCTGATTTCCAAAGCCAGATGTTATAGAGGCTTTTCTTCCTGGTACAGATCCCCAGGGCAGTGGGTACCTGATGTGGGGCTCAAACCCTTCACTTCTCAGGGAGGATCTCTATACCTGTGATATCCCTCCTGCTTGTGGGTTATCAAGCTGGGCGTGTGGACCCTGACCAAATCACATCTCTGCTTTCTTGATGTGACTTTTTCTTTACATCTTTAGCTGTGGAAGAGCTGTTCTGCTAGTCCCCAGATTGTTCTCAGTAAGAGTTACTCTATATGTACTTGCAGTTTTGGTGTGTGGCCATTGTTTGACCTGAGCTCAGAATCCTCCTACTCTGCCATTTTCAGCAATTCCCACCCACTTTTTTAAATTGAGGTATAATTGACATATAACATTATATTAGCTTTAGGTGTACAATGTGAGGATTTAATATATGTATATATTTAAAACAATCACAAAAAATCTAACATCCATCACTATACATGGTTACATTTTTTTTGTGAGAACTCTTTAAGATCTATTCTCTCAACAACTTTCAAATATGTAATACAGTATTATTAATTATAGTCACCATGCTGTACGTTACATTCCCCAGACTTATTTTATAACTACAAATTTGTACCTTTTGACCCTTTTCACTCATTCTGTCAACACCCCCAACTCTTGCCTCTGACAACCACCAATTTGTTCTCTGTATCTATGAGCTTGGTTTTTTTGTTTGTTAAAGATTCCACATAATAGTTAGATCATGGCATTTGTCTTTCTCTGTCTGACTTATTTCACTTAGCATAATGACCTCAAAACTCATCCATGTAGTTGTAAGTGGCAAGATTTCTTTCATTTTTATGGCTGAATAATATTCCATCGTATATGTATACCATATCCTCTTTGTCCATTCATCTGTCTGTGGACCCTTAGGTTGCTTCCATTGGAAATAATGCTGCGCTGAGCAGAGGAGTGCGTATATCTTTTCGACTTAGTGTTTTCTTTTCTTTGGGTAAATAGAGGTCGAATTGCTGGATAATATGTTAGTTCCCTTTTTAAATTTTCGAGGAGCCTCCATTCTGTTTTCTATAGTGGCTGTACCAATTTACATTCCTACCAATAGTTCATTTTTCTCCACATCCTCACCAACACTTGCTATTTTTTGTCTTCTTGATAATAACCATTCTGACAGGTGTAGAGTGGTATCTCATTTATGGTTTTGATTTGTATTTCCCTGATGGCTAGTGATGTTGAGCATCTTTTCATCCGGCTCTTGGCCATCTGTATATCTTCTTTGGAAAAATGTCTACTCGTATCCTCTGCCTATATTTAAAATGGGTTGTTTGTTTGAACTTACATTGTGAAATATCTATGTATATATCCAAGGAAAAGTGGGTTGTTACAGCAATAATAACAGGAATATAGCTCACTTCTTCACAAATGGTTCTAAACCAGATGGGCTCCTGTTTGTATCAGTATAGTGTTATCAGGATTCAAATACATTTTAACATTTAATTTCTTAAAAAATAAAAGATTTGAAAAAGTTTTTTTTGTTTAAGGTGCTATGTCAGGTTTTTTAAAAAGAATCTCTTTTGGTCTCCTGCATCTTTTCCAGTGTTTCTCATGCAAATATTGTTCAATTAATTTATATTTTTCCTTAGCTATGGGCTTCTGTTGACAATTGTGTAGGCAGTTTTGGGTAATGAAGTTAGCCCAGTGGTCCTTTAAAATTCTCCATAAATGTTATTAATATAAATATGCAATGTGAGAATAGTTAAGTCTTTTGTAGATTTTTTTAAGAATGATAGTTTCTTTAGAGAGATGGTTTCTTTAGAATCATCTTTATGTTATTGTCTAAATTCTGGCAGCAATTTTTGAGCTCCTAACTCTTTAAAACGTACAGTTTTATATCATGTGTCCTAATAGAGGAAATGCACAAAACTTTGAGAAATATAATAGAAGGTATAAAAAATGGAGAGTTACATCTTGGAAGACAGACTAACCATTATAACAATGCTAGTATTTCCAGATTCCATGTCTATACTCAAGTGACTCCAGTTGTCAAAAGGGTGGAAGTTGAGGGTGAGATAGTCCTCACAGCAGGTAGCAGCTCTTTCAGAAAACTTAGCTTAGGGGAAGAGACAGGGTGGCAGCTGGAGGGAGCCAAGAGAGTCAAGTATTCTTTGTTGTTTGAAAGATAAAATCTAGAGCGTGTCCTGAGTGCTGATGCTGTTGGAGCACTAGAAGGAGGGACTGAGGAGGGATATTTTGATTCAGGGGGAAGGAGGAGGCATGGGGGGTGGTGTTGGTAGGTGGCATAGTTTCTGAGACACTCTGGAGGGGTGGAGGGATTGGCTTTGGAAAGAAAAGGAAATGAGGGCTTGTATTTTTTCTGTGAAGTATGAGGCTGTTGAGAATAAGGGGGGGGGAATTTGAGAAGAATAGAGAAAGCTTGAAAATAGGCATTTGAAGAGATAAAGAGTGGCACCTGGGTATCTCGGTTGGGCATCCGACTTAGGGTCAGGTCACCATCCCCACATCGGGCTTGCTGCTGTCATTGCAGAGCCAGCTTCGGGTCCTCTACCCACCTCAATTTCCCCTTCCCCCACTTGCGTGCATGCTCTCTCGCTCTCTCTCTCTCTCTCAAAAATAAATAAGCATTAAAAACAGATAAAGAACTGTTTCACTAGAAAAACATAGTAAGATTGCTGTATAATTGTTGACTGTGAACTTAGAATAGAATTCTATTTAGTTTTGTGACCACCCGCCCCTTCCAGCTACTCAGATTTCTTGCTACAAGTGTGGGGTAGACAAGTGGTTGAGTTCAAAGTTTTGATCTTGAGGTCATCGATCCTTCCTCCTAGCTCTGTACCTTGAAGAACAAACACAACCTCTAGTGAACAAGGTGCAGCTACCACAGTTGACTTTGATTGGACATCCTCAGTTAGTGATGTGGTAGAGGGATGTCTAGGTGGAGTTGGTGCAAGGTTTTCTACTGATTCTAATTACTTTGGTGTCTTTCAAAAAATTGATTTGAAAATGCTTATCTTCCAGTTATTTGGTTGTAGAAAAATGAAACAAAGCCCATTTTTTTCCTTAGAATGGAAAAAAGATATAAGAATTAAAGTTCACAGCTGGTAAAATTAAGGATGTACGTTTTAGATAGACAAAATGTAGGAATTTGTACTCTCTGTGTTTTATATTCAAAACCCATATTTGGAAGCACAATGCAATTATGCTAGTCTATATTTCTTACTAATATCTCTTCTTTTTTCATTTTAGGAAATAGTCTAGTAAGTTTAACCTTTCATTTATTTAGTCTTCATGGATTAATTGAGTACTTCCATTTAGATATGATGAAACTTCGTAGATTTTTAGGTAAGTGATTCTAACCCGTTTAACAGAAATAACATTTGAACAAGAATCTGTTTTAAGTTTTCATCAGTTTTTTCAGTTAGCTATTGCTCTAAAACAGACTACCCTAAATTTTTGTGGCTTGGAATGACACACACTTACTCAGCTCCTGAGTCTGTGGGGCTGTTGAATGCTGCTTGTAGTCTAGCTGAGTTCATTTATGTACCTGCAGTTGACAACAGGCAAGCTACTCTGTGGGCCTGGACTGGGGCCTCAGCTGGGACACTGGGCTTCATGTGGCTCAGCTCTACATGGTCCCCCATTAAATTCAAAGGAGTCAGAGGAGTTTGGCCCCTTAATAAATTCATATTAAAAACAAAAAAAGAAGGAAATATATTTTATGACAAGCTTCTTCAAAGAGTGATGGGCAGTCTCCAAGGGAGCTGGCATACCTGGACCCCTGAAACTGGCTCTCCAGGTCTGGCTCTCCATCACTTCCACCCCATGCTGTTGGCCAAAGCAAGTCTGATAGGGGGTGAATGACACCTCTCGTCCAGGAAGCTTTGAAGGTTCAAAGCCATGAATGGAGGGCATGGTGAAGAAGTGGGACACTTTTGCAGTCAATCTCTTAGGTTGACCACAGCTTTGTCACAAAGATGACACAATTTCTGTCCTTTTTCCAAACTATGAAATCTCAAACTTGAAAAGATTAGGTGCATTGCACTTAGGTGTTCTCTTTTTCTGATCCCAGAAATCTCTTTACGTTAAACTTAAAGATTATTTTTAATATGTTTAAATGTGCACGGTGATATTTGTGTTAAGACTGTTTTGCTAGGGAAAAAGCTGAACTTTTTTGCCAAATAAATATGTTAGAAGAAAATTAGCATGAGGATTATTTACTTTTTTTAAAAAAGAAGGTAATATTTTCTTTCCTCTTAAATACTGAACTAAGATAAATTTATTACCTAGGACTTTTGAGAGACTTTTCCTGCATATTTATTTCTAATTTGTATACCTGCAATACTCCACTAACAAATTGTGTAAATTATAAAACATATATAAAAATAGATATTAACAAGAGTAATTAAAAGGCTATTTGAAAGGATGGGTTAAAGTAAATACATAATTCTAATGCTCTTTCCTTCTCACCAGTGAGTCATGGTTCACCACTGTGGAATTGGCTCACTTTACTAGTGACCAGTAGATTACAGTGTTATGCCCTTGGGGCCATCCTGCAGGCTTGATGGCAACAGGGATAACTCTACCCCTAATCCTAGTCTCCTTTTTCATGAAAGCCTAACAGACATGGAGTAGAGACAGTAGGATTAAGAGAAGGTCCATCCCTACCACTGAAAAACTAATTCCAGTTCTGAAACAAATACCTCACTGATGATGCGCCCATGGGATCATCTTCATATGCCCTAATAACTATAATATTTTAGCTTCATAAAGTTTTTTGTTTACTGATAAATTTCTAGAATCTAAAACAGTACTTGGGACAAGTGTTTGTTGAATGAATTGCAATGCTTTTAATGAAACCGAGAAACTCTTCTTAAATTACATTTGAAAGAGAGGAGTTTGGTACAATGATAGGTTCACATTTTAAAAGAGAAAAAGAGAGGCACCTGGGTGGCTCAGTCAGTCAAGCATCCGACTGCCGGCTCAGGTCATGATCTGATGGCTCGTGAGTTCAAGCGCCACGTCAGGCTCTGTGCTCACAGCTCAGAGCCTGGAGCCTGTTTCAGATTCTATGTGTCTCCCTCTCTCTCTCTCTCTCTGCCCCTCCCCCGCTAGCACTCTGTCTCTCCCTCTCTCAAAAATAAGTAACACTTAAACAAATAAAAAAGAAAAATAAACAAAATATTTATTGTTTTGACATGAATACCTTCTGATAATTTCAAACAAGTTAGCAGCCACAGTGGTATTGATTCTTTGGACATACATGTGAGTTCTGAGTGATTGTCATCCATCTGAATCTGAACAACTAGCTGGTAGCCACATGAAGATTGTAAGTGGAAAACTCATAATTACCACAATTCTTGTACTTTGTACAGGCCTCCCACGTACAATTAAATTTGAGATCTTTTTTCTTTGATGCAGTTATGATTCAAGAAGATTACCACAGTCAGAACCCTTACCACAATGCGGTCCATGCTGCAGATGTTACTCAGGCCATGCACTGTTACTTAAAAGAACCTAAGGTAAGATGCTGACATTTACAGGGGGTGCGAATCCTAAGAAAATTCCTTGACTTACTTTCAAATACTTTTCCTTAAATGAGTGATTTGACTCAAAATCAGAGGCTTCCTTCACTAAACTGAGATCTGGCTGGATCAAGTTTCCCATCCTGGTTATATTTGTACAGCAGTTGGACAACTGAGTGATTGTTGAGAGAGAAGCTGGAGAAGTCCAGGTGAGGTCTGGATCCGACGAAACCCCCAACTCTGTGTTGAGACACTGGCATTTACACCAAGCTCCTTGTAACCTCCATGAGGGCCGCACAGCATTAGTCCAATTCAGAGAATGAATGGGGAGCTACAGAAGGGAAGCAGGAGACTTTCCCACACCTGTCAGAAGCTGTTTTGTTTTGGTGCACCGTGAAAGAGCCTGGTGGCCCAAGCTAGGCAAGGGGCTTTGGGGAAGGAGAGAGGTAGACGGTGTGTAAGATCTCTTGGGAGTTAGAGTGCCTAGCCTATGGTGTCTGCATGCCTTTGGAGGAATGAAGCAGAGAGAAGAGTCAATGAAGACTGCGTGGGGCAGCTGAGTAGAGTGTGGAATTCTGTGAGAGAAAGTATGTAGAAAAGGGAGCAAGTTTTGGGGGTAAGACTGGTAGAGATGATGACCTCCACTTTGGATATGTAGAGTTAAATGTGTTTGTGTGGTATCCAAATGGAGATGTTGAATAGAGAGTTGGATAAGAGAGTCTGGAGCAGAGAAGAGAATCTGTTGGAGATACAGATGTAGGGATCAACTGTAGATGATAACGGAAAGCCGTGTTTGTCTTTGGATGTTTCCTACCCCTGATGGTCCTGAAATCACATTTGCTTACCCTCAGCCCTGTTTCTAAACTCTTCTCCCCCTGGGATCTGAGTTCCCACTAGATGTTAGAAGGGAAAGCAAGCTGACTAAATCAGATTGTGCTAATTGATGCCAGTTCTGAGAATATAGCCATGTGGTCACCAGTCTTGTCATTTTTCAAGAGATTGTGGAATATGTGAAAATACCCCAGTTTTTAAAGTATATACATCATAGCTTTTTTTAAAAAGCAACTTCATTGTGGTATCACTTGTATGCCACAATAAAATATATACATTTTGTGGGTACATTTTTGACAAATGTATACTCCTGAGTGCCCGAATTTTCTAATTGAGCTTTTAAAAAAAACTCTGGGCCAAGGCTGAAGCCTCTGTTGAGAGTTTTGGGGAGAAACTGATAATCACCGTACAGCCAGGTAAATGGAATGATGAAGGTAAGTGTCATGTTCTGTGAGACACAGAGGAGGTTAATTAAGCTGGTGCACAGGTCTGTGAAGGTGGCTCCCCTCCCATCTTCCACTGGCCACACCCAACCAGAAGCCAGGGGCGTGGAAGGTAAGGGCTGATGCCAGGCACTGGGCAAGGCGAGAGTGCGAAGGGTGTGGTAAAAATGAATAAAAATGCTGCCTTACCTGTGCAGCTCTGGCAGCACTGATTTTAAGTTTTTTTTTTTTTTTTTTTTTGGCCTATGTATCTGATATTTCTTATTTTAAATACTTTTTGCCTTATGCAGCTTTGATTACACTTATTTGAAATACTTGGCTCCTAGGTGGCTCAGTCAGTTAAGCGTCTGACTCTTGATTTTGGCTCAAGGTCACGAACTTATGGTTTGGTTCTGTGCTGTCACAGAGCCTGCTTGGGATGCTCTCTCTTCCTCTCTCTCTGCCTCTTCCCCACTTGTGAGTGCGTTCACATGCGCTCGCTCACACTCTCTCTCTCCCTCCTTCCCTCCCTCTCTCCCTCTCCCTCCCTCTTTCTCTCTCAAGTATTTTTTTAAAAAATACTTTTCATGGTTAACATACTTAGTGAACTTAGTCAAAGCTTCAGTGAAGGAGATAAAATCACTAAGCCCTAAAATGCAAAAATTCCTTTCTCCTTTATTGTAGTTTACATTTTAAAATAGACTCATTCAGTTTTAAAAGTACGTTCTAAAAAAAGGCTTAAGATTGTATCTCTTACTGCCTGGGCTTTCACAAGGCTTCACACTTTCAAGTGCTTTCATTCAGTACATTTTCCTGGTGCTAGGAATCCAGTGGTAAACAGGACAGGAAAGGTCCCAGTGAGGGATGCAGTCATTAGACAAATAAATAGAATGTTGACATATATTGTAGTAATTACTGCTGTGAAGGAATCTAAATCGAGGAATGTGCTGGAGAGTGACCAGAGGATGGCAAGCATTTAGAGCTGTAGATAAGGTGGTCAGAAACCACGTAAACTGAAAGGAAAAATTTGAGAAGGAGTCACCTGTAGAAAAATGCAGGTGCAGAGGGAATCAAATAGAAAGGCTTAAATATAGTATTTAGTGAGAAACCTGCTTTCCGGGCACCTGGGTGGCTCAGTCAGTTAGGCGTCCGACTTTAGCTCAGGTCAAGATCTCATAGTTTGTGAGTTCCAGCCCTGCGTCTGGCTCTGCTGACAGCTTGGAGCCTGAAACCTGCTTCGGATTCTGTGTCTCCTTCTCTCTCGGCCCACCCACCCCTACTCACGCTCTGTCTCTCTCTGTCCCTCAAAGAATGAATAAACATTTTAAAAAAACAAAAGAGGGGCGCCTGGGTGGCTCAGTTGGTTGAGCTTCCGACTTCGGCTCAGGTCATGATCTCACAGTCCATGAGTTCGAGCCCCACGTCGGGCCCTGGGCTGACGGCTCAGAGCCTGGAGCCTGTTTCAGATTCTGTGTCTCCCTCTCTCTCTGCCCCTCCCCTGTTCATGCTCTGTCTCTCTCTGTCTCAAAAATAAATAAACGTTAAAAAAAAAAAATTAAAAAAAAAATCTGCTTTCCGTTTTTATATATGATTTCTGTGTAAGAGCTAATTCCTGGACTCTTAAGTGCAAAAAGAAATACTCAAAGCCCCCCCAAATTGCTAGAAAGTTAGGGCAAAGTTCCTTCTTTCTGTACTTGACATCAGCCTTAACTTGAGTGTTTACTTTCTGTGTTTTCATAGCTGAGCTTAGATTATAATTTTGTTCCAGTTGAGCCTATTAGCACCTAATAGCAACAATAAAAACAGTGACGTTTTTTGTTGAACACAGGAAAACTCAGCATTACTAGTTTTTTATTTGGAAAAGGGCCCTGATGATAGCTTTGCAGACGTCTCCATCAAATGGTTTGCAGTTTCTTCTTCACACAGCTTGTTGTTACTGTCCGGCATTACCAGATACAGTTAAAGGAATGGAAATAACAGTAGCCTTGTTTTGTTTTGTTTTGTTTTGTTAATTTTTTTTTACATTTATTTATTTTTGAGAGAAAGAGAGAGCACGAGTGGGGAGAAGCAGAGAGAGGGAGACACAGAATCCGAAGCAACAGTTGCCTTGTTTTTAACCCACTTTAAAAATTGTCTTAATATCGTTGGCTTCTTTGTCTTTATTATAAAGGTAATCATTATTTTTTTTTACTACTGACAGTTTGTTATTTATCATTGACCGTTTCAGTCAGGTAATTAACTTACCCCTTGTGATTATTTTATTGTATCAGCTAAGATCTGCAATGATTATTGAGAGTAACATTATAATTGCTCGCTTACACGATCACTTTTTCTGAGGTGACTATATTGTGAACGCTGTTCTGACTATATCCATCTGTTGGGAGAGGATTTTCTTAATAGAGTGGATATAGACTGCCCCAGGATTACTCAGCTTCCTTAAACATTAAAGACCTCAGAAATAATGTTACAGTTTGGATTCTAATTTTTTTTTTTAACGTTTATTTATTTTTGAGACAGAGACAGAGCATGAATGGGGGAGGGTCAGAGAGAGGGAGACACAGAATCTGAAACAGGCTCCAGGCTCTGAGCCATCAGCCCAGGGCCCGACGCGGGGCTCGAACTCACGGACTGCGAGATCATGACCTGAGCCAAAGTCGGCCGCTTAACCGACTGAGCCACCCAGGCGCCCCTACAGTTTGGATTCTTAATTGAAGTCTAGTAACCAATTTGTTGATGAATAAGCGCCTTCAGTCATAGGTCTTATGTAATTGTACACTTAAAACTCTGATAATGTGAGCGTAGATCTCACATTAAGTGTTCTTACTGCAATAAAAAAAAGTTGAAAGACCTCATAGGTCTTCTGTTGGTAGCAACTACGGTAATAAACATACAGAAACCTGTGTTTGTTTTAAACCCATTTCTCAGAAAAGATCATTTATACTTTGGCTGTCATTTTGAGTAAGTCTGTCTCAAATGAACACAGTGTAAGAACAAGGTCTGTAAACTCTGTGTGGATGGGAACACACATCATATTCTACCTCTCCCTCGTGTCGTGATGAGGACAGCACCCGGCAGGTGCTTGGTGCCCTTAATGAACAGTCTGAAAAACATGACGGGGGAGGAGACTCGACACTGCCATTTGAGGCAAATTCAAAACTACTGTAATGGTACAGAGTTTATTTCAGGTATGTCTGTAATTAATTATTTTGTCCCACTTCAGCTTGCCAGTTCTGTAACCCCTTGGGATGTCTTGCTGAGCTTAATTGCAGCTGCCACTCATGATCTGGATCATCCAGGTGTCAATCAACCTTTCCTTATTAAAACTAACCATTACTTGGCAACTTTATACAAGGTCAGTGCAATTTTATCATGAGATTTAATATTCTTGCATTCTGGAAAATGTTTTAATGGAGTCAAAGTGGTAAACAGATTGTCCATGAACATTAGAATTTTAACCAGATTAATATTACCTACAGATAATTCTTTATGTTCAGAAAGAGACTCGCTATTAAATAACTCAGATATGCCCCTTTTTGTAGAATACCTCAGTACTGGAAAATCACCACTGGAGATCTGCAGTGGGATTATTGAGAGAATCTGGCTTATTCTCACATATGCCATCAGAAAGCAGGTAGGTTGGATTAAGACACATTTAATTTGTTATGAACTATGGAAATTAAGTTGGCAAAACAATTTTATAAAGGTTTCAAAATTATTCAGGTGTTCCCACAGTTTTCAGTGTTTGTTTAATGGCTGAATTATTTTATCTTAAAAGTTTATATCAAAATTCTAGTAATTTAAACCTGTTCTGCAGTGAAGACAGTAGTATTTTTTTAGTGATTTTTTTTTTATGGATCATTCCGTAGATTTGAGTATTACAAAATTCACTCCAAATACACAGTGCCTCATAGTTTACTATTTATGTAAATAGCGTTACATGTTTCCATTTTATGCTCATTTGAATAAAACCTTATGTTCTAGGTATAAAGAAATTAATTATTCTGTATCATAAATACCCTCATTAAAAGTTTCAGGAAGTTTTCAAAATCTATAAGTAACAAAAAATGCTTTATACCTCAATAGCATAGCCCTGGAGTCACTTCGGGAGCATAGGATAAAATAATGATGGAAAGAACAGGAAATACCAATTTTTTAAGAAAAGACCATTTAATGTTAAGCAGGCCATTTGAAAGCCTAATAAGCATCAGTGCAAATAAGCCCAATATGATGGTGATTAACAAAATCTCTTCTCACTGATCCACAAACAAAAGCTTTTAATAATGCCTCACTGAGAGAAGATGCTCTTACGAAAACCATGTAAGTGGATGTAAACCATCTAATTCTAGAAACAAGGTGAGGCATAAAAATAAGTTTGGGTACTGAAATTTAAGTTACTATTATTGTTCTTTCCTTTTTCCATTTCATAACTTAAAACAACTTTATTTTAAAAACTTAAGTATTTTGTGTAATGACCATAAGAAAAAAGCTGGACTTTATTTTTTATTTTTTAAATCTTTATTCATGGATACCATTTGGAGTTATGACAATACTTCTGGTAAGTAAAATTGTTTCTTGCTGTAGTACAAATAGAAAAATGGCTTAAACCATAGTTTTTGTATATATGTTATCTTTTTCTTGATTAAAGCAGATTAAAATGTTTGCTTTCTTCTTTTTGTCATGTTTTACATTTGATGATTAACCCTATCGATAAAAACTGACAATAAGGAACACTACCTAATAGCATTCTTTTATGTTTCCTTTATTTAGGATTTATTTCATTTAATATCCAATATTGTGAGCCTTTTAATCTGTTGACAGCTCTTTACTGATATTTATACAAAGATAATGTTTGCTACAGCCCATTGAGGGGAAAAACGGAAGGGTTTTTTTGGGTTTTTTTTAAGTTTATTTCTCTTATTATTTGACTTGAGACAGTCTTAATTATTTTTTTACTTGAGACAGTTTTAAAAATGATATATGATGTATTTGCATTAACATGTTACCTTTTCCTTTCCAGAAAAGTTGGATATTCATGTAGATAATTGATTCTAGAATTTGACCTTGAAAATACAGTTATATCTAAACTTTATCAAATTGTTTGGTGGGGTTTCGTCAGCATATAATCATGCATCTTAGTCAAAATATCTACCAGACTTAGTTGTTGAATGGGCTGTTCTTTCTCCGTTTGAGCCAACCTCCTGACTTCCAGGTATCAGACACCCAAGAAAGAAACCAAAGTTGTGTACCCTCAGCACATCCCAGCCAAAAATTTTATAAAATAACGTATCAGGCTCATATGGATTTGTTTTTAGACAACTAATTCCTCCTTGGCTGGCAAAATAAAGGCATTCTTTTGGGAATGTACACATATTTGTACTTTCCTACAAACTCCTTTGGTTTTAGTTTTGATGATTTTGGTAGGTTTTTTTAAATGCATTCTTTAAAATTCATTTGTTGTGATAGGTTAAAAGTTGAATGGCAGAATATTAAGTTTAAGAAAAAAAAATCAAGAAGTAACTATTTAATTGAAAGTCTTGTATTTTCTTTTTATATTTCTCTAATTCCAGGCAACAAATGGAGACTCAGATAGGTGCTTTGATACTAGCCACAGACATCAGTCGCCAAAATGAGTATCTGTCATTGTTTCGGTCCCATTTGGACAGAGGTGATTTACGCCTTGAAGATGCCAGGCATAGGCATTTGGTTTTACAGGTAAAGTGGGGTTGGGAAAGATTCTTTCTAGGGTAAATCACATGACTGTTAGAATAAAAATGAAGTAGTCTAGTGTAGCTTTCAGAGTGGTTAAATTTTGAGGGAAAGCTGTGGGATTTCCTTCCATTAGTAAAATATCTTACAGAAGGTGAATCTTCTCCTTAGGAAAGCACCATTGTTTTTGTAGTTTTCATACTCGTGATTTCTAACAAAAACCATTTTTGTGAGATTAGGGTACTGACCAACAAACAGTAATTTATTTTATTTTATTATTTTTTTATGAATTTTTTTTCAAATTTTTACTCAAATTCTACTTAGTTAACATACAGTGCAGTATTGGTTTCAGGAGCAGAATTCAGTGACCTACATACAACACCCAGTGTTCATCACAAGTGCCCACCTTAGTACCCATCACCCATCTAGCCCATCCCCCACCCACCTCCCTCCATCAACCCTCACTTCTCCTTTGTTAAGAGTCTCTTATGGTGGGGCACCTGGGTGGCTCAGTCGGTTAAACTTCTGACTTTAGCTCAGGTCATGACCTTGCAGTTAGTTTGTGGGTTCGAGCCCCACATTGGCCTCTGTGCTGACAGCCCAGAGCCTAGAGCCTGCTTTAGATTCTGTGTCTCCCTCTCTCTCTGCCCCTCCCCCACTCATGCATGCTCACACTTGCTCTTTCTCTCTCAAAAAATGAATAAACATTAAAAACAAAATTTTAAGAGTCTCTTATGGTTTGTTTCACTCTCTTCTTCACCCCCTTCCAATATGTTCATCTCTTCCATTTCTTAAATCCCACATATGAGAGAAATCATATGGTATTTGTCTTTTTTCTGATTGACTTATTTTGCTTAGCATAATACACTCTAGCTCCATCCATGTCATTGCAAATCGCAAGGTTTCGTTCCTTTTGATGGCTGAGTAATATTCCAGGGTGTGTGTGTGTGTGTGTGTGTGTGTGTGTGTGTGTGTGTGTAGGCATATTTTATATATATATAAAATATATATATATGCCATATCTTCTTTATCCATTATCAGTCAATGGACACTGGTGCTTTCTCCATACTTTGGCTGTTATTGCTAATGCTGCTATAAACATCAGGGTACCATGTACCCCTTCAAATCTGTATTTTTGTATCCTTTGGGTAAATACCTAGTAGTATAATTGCTGGATTGTAGGGTAGTCTGTTTTTAACTTTTTGGGGAACCTCCATCCTATTATCCTGAGTGGCTGCACCAGTTTGCATTCCCACCAGCAGTACAAGAGGGTTCCTTTTCTCTACGTTGTCGCCAACATCTGTTGTTTTGTTGTGTTGTTAATTTTAGCCATTCTGACGGTTGTGAGGTGGTATCTCATCATGGTTTTGATTTGTATTTCCCTGAGATGAGTGAAGTTGAGCATCTTTTAGCCAAGTGTTTTATTTTCACAAATTAGTTCTTGGATCTAAAAATGAGCGAGAATACAATGATTTATTTGTAGCTTTATGTTTAGTCCAGTCCTTATGCTTGGCTCTTGGGTATAAAGGGTCGTTTAGCATTCCTGAAGACATGATTGATAGACATAATAGCATCGTAAAATTAATATAAAAGACAATGAATTTTCTGTTGCAGCATTTTTCTTCATTAAAGTGTCCTTTTTTCCCACTATTGGAGTATACTTAAGCTTAGTACAATTGAAATTTTACTTTTTTCTTTAAAGAATTTTAATATTTTGCTTGCTAGATGGCTTTGAAATGTGCTGATATTTGTAACCCATGTCGGACCTGGGAATTAAGCAAGCAGTGGAGTGAAAAAGTAACAGAGGAATTCTTCCATCAAGGCAAGTTACAGTTTTGAGTGATAAGTAGTCTGTTCAGTTCATGTTTTAGCATCATTTGAATAAAAAAACCCAGACATTTACAGGAGTCAAGCAATAGATGCTTGTTGGTATTTTTAGTGACAACTCAGTGTAGATGTACATACAGGCAATAATGTACAAGTTGAGCATATTTTGGAAATTACCAGTTCTCTTTTGAAATGATGAAATGTGAATATTTGCATTTATAAATAGACATAAGTCAGGTTAGAAATTTTGCTGTCCAGAAAGATTTCCCTGACCTTGTATCTCATCATCCCTTTTGGAGGGTCCCATGGCCCTGTGAACATGCAAGTTATTTTTAGTAATTTAAAAACAGGAACCAAGGATCTTCATTTCATGTGCCTTCCTTTTAGAAATCTAAGTTTTAAATTAAAATGCTGACAGAATTACAGTCTTGGGGTAACACCTAGTAAAATTTTTCATCTCCTCCATTTAAAATAGGATATCAGCTTGGCAACCTTTTCTCTGTGTGAATAACTTAAAAATTTTAAAAAGAACTAATTTAGAAGCCATCCTCTCTTGAGGATTAAGTATGTCATGCATTTTCTAAGGAATTTACAGGTAAGATGAAGACTTTAACTGTATACTTAAGCAATAGTTATGTTCCACATAAATCATTCTATCTTGTTTTTATAATTTTAGGAGACATAGAAAAGAAGTATCATTTGGGTGTGAGTCCACTTTGTGATCGTCAGACTGAATCTATTGCCAACATCCAGATTGGTAACTATACATACTTCTAGCTGGTTAGAAAAATGCCGCTGATTTTAAGTTTGCCAAGAAGAGATCTACATCTGAAATATAAATTATTAAAATTGTGCTCATTTCTATTTTTTAATTTAAGAAATTTTACCCATTTTTCCTTTTTGGGGCTCTATTTATAATTTACTCTCATTTAATCTTAGGTCATAAAAACCATAATATTTGCAAAGCAGGTAGCAGTAACTTTGTTTTAAAACTGACAGAATACATGATTTGCTCATGTGGAAGCTTCTTTTGCATAATTCTGGGATTGCATTCTAAAATGAAAAAAGTGACCACTGAGCACAATTATAATGTGAAGTCCATTTTCCGCTGTGGCTTACTTTTCTCTGTCACCGCCTGTGGATTAATTCTTCAACATCCTGTACAGGCCTCTTGTAAGCTTCCCTTGAATAGTCTCTTCAGTTCTTTCCCCGGCAACTTCCCCTCACATACCCGCAGCAACCTGGGACTCTGCAGTGTTCCCCAAATCCATGGCACCCCTTTACTCTTTCCCCCTCGCCAGTCCTTCCCATCTGCCTGATGGACTCATTTTTCCTGAAGATCCACCTCCTCCGGATGCCACCTTCTACTCTCTCCAGGCAGAGTCGGTCGCTCCTTTTCCAGGCCTCCAAAGCACTAGATATACGTCTCCCCTAGCTCCCAGGTCCTTCCTGCAGCGATGTATTCCTGAGGCTTTGCACTGCACCTAGAAGCAGGAGGCGCTAGAGAACTATTAATTAAGTGAGACATAATTGTAACAGAAAGCACAGGGAAATGTGCTGATTAAAATAGGGGCAGCTTATTGTAAAAGAGCACAGGAGTGGGTGTTGGGGTTTTGAACGTAAAGTAGGAGGCCAGCATGGGGATGGGTAAGTCAGCAAGGTATTGCGGGATGAATGTGATTTTGGTAGCTGGTGTTGGGTAGGGCCTTTGAGGATTAGGTTGAACATAAAGAAATGGGTGCACAAACTTCAGAAAGATAAAGTTTCTAGAAATCCAGAAGACAGCACACGTCTGTGGCATAGTGCTTTGAAAAGAGGCTTGTAGGGGTCAGAAACTCAGAAATCTGATACTTACATAGTAATTGCAAGGCATCGTCATGTGGAAGGCAGTGGGTAGTAACTGACTTGATGGCAGAGGAACAGGTAGGGAAGATGAAGAGCCAGGCCAAGAAGAGTGTGGCACAGACCTGCGGGAATGGCGGGGGCAGGGGAGGGTGGTGCTGGGGCTCAACCAGCCAGAAGCCTGGGGAATTTTGCAGAGGGGGGAGCTTTTTTTGGGGGGGATAAGAAGACACTTAAGAAGCAGATCTGGGGTACCCTGAGTCTCAAGTAGAAAAACCTTCAAATGCAAGAGAACAGGTGAAATATGGGCAAAGGGAATTAAATTGAAGATAGGTGAATGAGTAGCAAAGTCATTGTAGCTCCTTTTAAGTTCTTTTGCTGGAGTCAGTGACTCTCTAGATTAATTTAACAGTAGGTTTTTAAAAACTACAATTTCTAAAAGAGAAAGGAAGCTAGACCCCTTAAATTCTTCACTTCAGTCTACAGATCTTGTCAGTGTCAGCACTTCTAGGTCAGGCTATCTAAGGGACAAGGATAAGGGAAATGATGGTAAGAGCTGACATCTGCCAACTCCTCACAACAACCCTGGGAGACACGGACTTCTCGTAGCCTCCTTTTCAGATAGTTTGCCCAAGTTATACAGTTATAAACTGTACAGAATAAATACTGTGCTAAACAGTGGTTATTCAGAGCCAGCATAGGGTCAGTAAGTAGATGTCATGTGTAATTAATACAGTTTCCTTCTTTGATAGAAATAATGGTTTTGTTAAACAAGAAAAGAACACATACTGGGGAAGTAAGGCATTTGACAAGGTGTCCTGTGGTATCTGTGGGGGTAAGAGAGAGGCACATGGGCTCGTACAACAAGTGGATTCACAAGCAGCTAATGGATAGAGCCCCGCCCTCCAGGAAGGTGCTGTGTGGCTGTCTCTGTCCATGACCCCATTCATTTTTGTCGGGTGCTTAAGACCTAAAAGAATGAGGTTAACTTAGAGCCACAAGTAATACTAATTTGTTGGTTGTTAGAGGCAAGATCCAAAAGCTCTCAACCAGTTGGAATAATGGGTGAATCAAATAAGATGAAACTCATGGAAAAGCATGATAATAAGGTTCTGCATTTGGGTATAAAACACTAGCGATTCACCACTTAACTGTGGCACCTGGAAGGGACAGGGCTCTGGGTGACTGGTTCAGCCTGACACTGTGGTGTGAGGATGGCTACCAAAAAGCTGCCGTGTTCTTTGACCACAGAGGTGACATTTTCCTCTATTTGTTACGTCTTTCTCTTCACCAGAATGTAACTCCTTGAGGGCACATCTTGTCTGTCCATTCACTGCTGTATTCCTGGCCACCCTAGAACAGTGCCTGGCATAGATAGCAGGTTCTCCGTTAATATGCGTGGAGGGAGTGAAAGGCCTTATTTCCAATATTAATTACTATTTCAGATACCACAATTTGTACACTTTTCTAATTAAAAGTAGTGGGTGCTAATTGCTTTAACTCCAGAATTTTTTGTTGCCTAAATGAAACCTGTGTGGCCTGTGGTCTACATGGTCTTTTGCTGAAATGAGAAAGTTTTTAGAGATGAAGAATATTTTAAAACTGTTACATAGCAATGATAGAATTCGAATGTACATGCTCCTCCTCCTTAACAGATCAAAAGTTGAGGAAATAATGCTAAATGTTTCTCCAATATATGTGATTTGACTGACGAGGTATTTTCTAGGAGTATAAGATACACTGTAGTGTTAAATCAGGCATAATGTCCGCATGAGTGCTGTACAACCTAAAGATACAGACAACCCAGAAATCACTCATTTTCCCTTTCTGACTACAAATTAAGAGAGATCAGTTATATGAGTTGTTTAAAAAGTAGGACCCTGGTACACTTTTGGTGTTCATTTTAGTAATTGCTGAAGCTAATACGCTCTGTTCTTTTTAGGCTCGTAATTTTTGTCATGAGTTTTGGTTCCGTAAATTCTGACTTAAATAAAGTGGCCAAGTGTAACCATGACCAGGTGTGAAGATGCCATCCCTGAGGGGGCGAAACCCAGCAGCACGTCACCAGCCCCACTTCAGCTCAGGCCTCATCACCCACAGTCTTGGAAGAGACCCCCCTTAGCCTCTAGCTGTCTCACTGCAACTGTCTGCCCTGCTTTCTGCAGAGTTGAGAGGACCGCTGAGTGTTTGCTCAGATAGGATGTGGTGGTGTAGCTGAAAGGAACCGTCAGAAAAGATTAGATGTGTTTGACAATTCACCTTGACTTAAAGTTCCATTGAGCTATTAAATAGATTCTTCAGAGAAGTTATGTACATTTACACACACACACACACACACA